ATCAAAATATCCAAAGAACAACAAACTGCTTGAAAATCTTGAAGAAGGGCTTCATTTAGCTGACTAGATTCTCAAGTGTGGACACTCAGCAGAATAAGGAACATACACTCCATTCTTGGGCATTAGAGGGAAAGCAGGTACTTCAGAATTTATTTTAAACTTGAGTAGGTGTCTAAATTTGGGTTTCTTAATAGTGTCTCTTCAAAGGATGCCCACAGTGATTAACTCAAATACATACATCCACACTGTAAATGCCTTCAGCCTGTTACAGCAATTCTCACATAAAATATTGCCTCTGCAGATAATGGAAGATTATGTAACTATATAAGAAGAATAATGTTCTCCTGTCTCAGTGTAGCATGTAAGTCCTATATTTTAACTGCAGCAGATCACAGGTTGCTGAAACACACTCAAACGTTAAAGGATGTTAAGGATGATAACATTAATGATATTAAGCAACAGCCACTTGTCAGAACACAGGATTTGCAACCAGTTATAAAAAGAACATTCTGAAGTGCAACCACGTATCACTGTGCACATGGCAGACTAACATACAAAGGATACTTGTTTAAGTCTTTCCTTTGGTAGCCCATAAAGAACCGCTCCTTACCAGTAATCACCAGTTTTGTGGAACAGGTGCATCGAATGAGGAGATGGACACTGTCAAACTTAAATGCTTTTTAGTAACTAGTAGTTTGACTAGAAATAGAACCACAGAATGGCTCAGGTTGGAAAGGACCCTGAAGATCATAAAGTTACAACCTCCCTGCCCTGGGCAGAGCTGCCACCCACGAGATCACACTGCCCGATGATTACTTTAAATAACTGTCACATTTATTATGTAGTCTGAAAAGGTATTAGCTACCTTTGTGGTGTGGGTGAGATTCATAACACCAAGAGCAGACTGCTCACATCATCACCTGACACTGCTTTTATGCTCAGTACAGAGAGCAGTTAGCGAGAGCACTGCCATTTTCATCATCAGTAGATATCTGAAATAAGTCAGTGAATTACTTCCTAGAAGTTCCCACTTCTCTCCATTCACTATACAATGAACTTCAGATGAGTAACTCAGGTTACTCCTTTTGTGCAGATCTAAAGTTAGAACAAAGCAACCTCAGTAGTACAGAGCAGTCTGGTGCTGGTGCTCCGTACCGAAAGTGGTTTTACACTATCTGAAAGAACTTCCATTCCACCTGAAAAGATGCAATATTCAATACTGCTTCTAAACACACTACATGAAGTTAAGCCCAAAATTTGGCTAATTGACATTTCTGCAGCTGATGGCATTCTATGTAGTCCCTATCAGGAAAGCAGTACGAAGGCATAATGAGAACTGCAAGCAGTCCAGCATCACTTAGCACCAGAACAAACACGATCCTAGCACACACCACTGTGCAGCATGCAGATCAGCAAATTACTGTCTGCCAAACAACTGAGCAATGTATATTTGTACACGATGAAGATACAGTTACATATCAGCACAGATCTTATTTCCCTTTTCAGAAGGCAAATTCTTTTCTCTCACAAATGAAATTTTCTAGTTGATCTTTATGACCTTCATGGAGATTATTTCAAATGTTTGAATTTGAAAATAAATTTACTGTGTGCTATCATATTTTGGTCACATACAAAATGAAAATGTTTAGTAATATTACAGAAATTAACTGAAAAACATTTGTATTTCTCAACATGAAGCATGCATGCCTTCTCTGCTACATGCAGTGTTGCAGCTGCCAGATATACAGCACACACTGCACCAAATCCCAATCCACAGACCCTGGAAAGTGAGATTAACAAATGGAAAACACTGAAGTATTAAGAGAATGGGAACTTTTTATAGTTGATACCTTTATTTCATAGATGAAAAGGTCTGTACAGTACAGCACTTCACTGTTCAGAAAGAGGGTTTTGTAACGGGCCCTGGGTCATTTTAATCAATGTTTGGCACACTGTTCTGTTTTTTTAAGCTATGAAAAAACACAACTGTAGCAACATTCCTGATGCACAGTATTTCAGTACGTATGTAGTGAATCACACTTCCATCATAAGCTGCTTGTACACAGCACAAGTCAGATAAACCTTATCAGAAAGGCTGCACAAAACAACAGTCAGTCTTCACAGCGTAGATGTAGCTCATCCTCAACTCATCACCCTCCTCTACCCTTATGCAGAGACAGTGAAAACTCTGATGGAAAGTACTTTTTATCCAGCAGAATTTGCCAAATTTAGGTCTCAGAGAGAAGTCTGTTTCTCACCAGTCAAGTCTTAGCTGCTGCTGCTGCTGCTGCTGAGCACAGTCCCTAACACTGCTACTCGTACAGTGCTCTCATCCTGAACTTGAAGCACATATTAAAACCAGACATATCTGCCATATAACCAGTTGTAGTAGGGTCCCAGACATTCAAACAAACCAAGAGTTAATTCCTAACTCATCTGCTGCAATGCCATGTATTCATGTTGGCCTCAAACACTTCTGATTCCCACAACCACTTGTCACCGTGAAAAAAGGCAAAGGAAGGCAAATGCTTTTACAAATATAAAGCAAAAATTAACAGCTTTACACGGTTTTATGTGAAGATATCTCTATAAGATATTAAAGACCATTTGTCAATTTAAAGAAAAATGAGGAAGAACTCACTTCCTAAACTTCATTTTCCTATAAGCTCCGCTGGCAATTTTATAACAATTGTTTTTGTGACCATAAGTTTGATAAACTGGTAGCACTTAAAAAATGCCTGACACCAAGAGCAAATTAATTTGCACATACAGTAATTCTTTAAAGCATTTTAAATGTTAACTCTGAATATTCTTTGATTGACAACTTCAAACTACCCGTCACCCTCAGCTCACAAAAGCAAACGATACTACCACATCAACTTATTGAGTTCAGGTTTGTGCTTTCAGTTTTCTTCTCTAAGTATAAATAAAAGTAACTTCTATTATTTTCTTGATAACCAAAAGAGAACTTTGAGTATTTTTAAAAACCTTTGCAACTTGTACAATTGAATCAATGGGTACATAAATCAACTCTTGCAGGCAACCAACCAAAACCAACCATTCAGACTACCTCTGAATGCAGAGAAATACTTCCTAAAATACTGGTATATTTATTCCCTATCTGCATTTTCTTTTCCCCACCTCCAGCACTACCTTTTTTCCCTATCTGTTCTTCTGCATCCCCCTCACCTTCACTAAAAGCCTTGCAGTTTGGGTTTACTGCTTGGGATTCTGTTTCAAACAAAATATACTTACCATACTGAGACCATCATTTTATTTATGCATATAGGCACATAGAGCAAGTCAGGAACCCAAATAACAAAAGCTTTGCTAAATCGTATAAATATGTAAGAATTTATTGCCAACATTCTAGAAGAATTTAAATCTATAATTTCATCTTAGTTATCCACATACAATTCTGGACTACTGTCACAATATACAGATATCCATTAGCTCTACTCAAATTAAATCACACTCAGCATAGAAACTTTCCTAGATTCACCTGCACAACTTCAAATAGTTAATTCAAAAAGGTTAGATATGGAAAATGGAGTTTTCTGGATAACGTGATGGTCAGTTCCATCCCAAAGGAAGTATTTATTTAATACTGCACTTCTTACACACTAGGGGTAAGTAAAATGAATGGTGTATGAGTAGTGGGTTTTGTTAGGGAAAAAAAATAATACATTTGCTATTAGATTTGAAATAGCCAACATATCTGAGATTACCTAATCAATTCAAATAGAAAATAGGCATTTTGTGACTAACCCAGTAATACTGCATTACATCCCTTGTCATGTATGCACTGGACAACTGTGCAATGATATGAAAGAGAAATCTAAATACAGAAAATCCAGCAGGTAGCCCAAGTAATCTATTTGGAGTCTTTAGTTTTTTTTTTTTTTTTTTAATTTCTTATTGTGTACCTTATGGAAAGTATATAAAAACAGGGCTGATGATAAATTTGCACTCAAAAAGTCAAATATGTTATTCGCACAAATAATTCTTAAAGAAACATGGGTAGGAGTATTAAATTTTTTAAAGGTGCATCAACCATTCCTGCGCCAAAAAATGAAGGGGAAGGAGACATTCTGTAAGGAAAATGTCTCAAATGAATTTATTACTTTGACTCTGTGAATTTCAAGCACCATTTTCACTTGTATTTAAAATTATAATATTCTTTTTAAAGAGGAGTAATTTGTCACCTTTATTTCTGACTAGAAAGAAGTGAAGAAGCGCTTCAAGTGTAAATGAAATTGAGATCGATCTATGAATGAGATTATTTCAATGCTAATAATTATATTCTGCGCTTCATGAAAGGACTCCATCATTATAAACAACTCCCTGCAGACTGCAACTAGTGCATAAACCAAGTAATCCCATTTGTTCATCTAGCTCATGTTCACTTGTCATTCTTCCAATAAAACTTCTGTTTTATATACAACCTCTGTTGTTTCTGTTGTCATAGTTCAGCTTTCCGAGGTTGTTGCCCATTATTCTAATTTTCTACTGAAACAAACAAACAAACAAAAAACCCAACATATTTCTTCACCATAGGATCAGACTTTGGAAAAGACTTTTTTTTTTTTTTTTTTGAAAAAAAAAAAAGGTAGGTATGAAGAGGCTAGGTAAAAGCCAAGTTTTTTGTTGGTCTAACTGTACTGACCTTCTCTGTATGTCTTTATCAATCAGTAACATCCTGCAAATACAGATTTTTCATAAATATTCAAAGAAAACAAACTTAAAACATTTCCACCAACCCCGTGATCTCCTAATATTTATATTAACAACAAACAGCCAACAAAGAAAGTAAAAAAAAGAATACCAGTGAAGTTAATGATGAAAGAATTTAGTTAGTATTCACTGTAATACTTAAATAGACTTGCCAAAAAATGACAGTAATCATGCTTTCAAAGATTATCAGTAAGTAAAGGATACATTATCCGCAGACCTAGAAAGAACTATTTAACATAATTAGGAACAATGGTATGATATAGTACCTTCCATTGCCCTTTTAAAGAAGACTTTACAGCTCCCACAGGTGAGTACTCCGTAGTGGCAACCAGAAGCCTCGTCGCCACAGATGAGACAAATCTTCTGGGGTAGTGATTCAAAGCTGTATTGGGAGCTTTGGCTGGTTTCTGTATCTGGCCTTGAAAAGAAAAAGAAGAGAAATGAAACATCCAGATTTGCAACAGTTAGCAACTTACCCAAATTAATCAGTTCTACAATAAAAACTTCCTCTATAGAAAATCAAGGGAAAAAAAAGCAGCATTGCCTTTCTGCTTAAGCTTCTCTTTACACCAGGATAAAAGGCACATTTGTAGTAGTGTCTACTCATTGAAAATGGTTTTGATAAAAAGGTTCAATTTGAGACACTGTCAAAATGTTCCATCTTCTTCAGCTCAGCAAGTCCTCCTAGCAAAGTCATACTGACTTATCTTTTCCTCAACACAGCATGGCATAGAGATGGAACCAATTAGAAATCAACTGCATTTCAAAACTTCCTCCACATGGGAAATCACAAAGTTTTATCTCGATTAGAAAAGTCCTCAATAACCAGCATGGCACTTCTGCAAAAGCTGCAGCTTTTGATCAGCAGGCAATTCAGTGAGCAGATTATGGCAAGTGACAAGTGAAAAGCCAAAAGTGAAAAGCCAAAAGTGAAAAGCCAAAAGTGAAAAG